GTCTTAAAATCAAGTTTAATCTTCAATTAGGAAATTGAAAAATTGGTGACACAATGGAGGATAATAGAGGATTATTGTAGCGAATAGACCGCTGATCAAAGTTTATTATCTTAGGAATAAAATATTCACAAATAATGATACATTTCTCGCTCATTATTAAGTATAAGCCCTTATAGTTATTAAATAAATAATTTTCGTCGAAAAATATCTAAATTCGGGAATATTTATTATAAAAATAGACTTTTCGGGAATTTTCTCCAAAATATGCTAAAATCGGGAATTTTCCTAAAATGAGCCAAAATCGGGAAAAATCAAGAAAATTAAACTTATATATTTTTGGTCTATTATAACTCCTAAACCTAATAGTATATAATTCCCGATGATTTTGTTAACTATTTTATTCGGGAATTCCCGAAAATTGGAAGCCTTAGTTATACATATGTATACGTTTTTAATTGATGTGAATAATAATGTGCATAATTTAACCAAAATAAAAAATGATACCTTATTTCATAAATTAAACCACTTATCGGTTAGACAGTGCTTTAGTGCTACCAAACGTGCGATAAAAGTTGAATAACATGGTCACGATTTTATCAACTAAACAATATTATTGCAGACTGAATAAAATTAAAATTATTGATTTAAACTTTAAATTTTAATGGGTTTGAAATAAAGTCAAAACAAGTGCTGTGCGACACATGTATGGCATAAAAACTTGTTACAGCAAAACATTCAGTCTATGCCCGATAGTCAATGTGAAGGTCAGTTATATAAAATAATCATTTAATTATATACTTTACCTTATATCAAACAAAGTACAGTATACTAATAACTTAGAACCACCTTTATCGGATTGCAGGATTTTACACAGCATTAGGGCAGCATGTACAATGTTTTATTATATTGTCCATAGACTTAGCATTGTCAATAGTGTTCCCAGACGTTACTTGTTTTGATCATATTAAAGCGTGATGAGCTAGGCCGTTTTTAGGGCGTTATACAGAGACAAAGGACACAGTAATTATTAATTATTCTGACGATTAATATATGATCACTTTATAAAATAAATTTTACTCACTTCAAAATTTTGCCAAAAACAAATAAAAAATTAATATTACTATTGTAATACTTTAGCATGTAATAGGTAAGGCGAACATTCATGTTTTTTAAATAAGTATTGCAATATAACGTCAGTACAGTACTAACATTACTCTGAAGTGATAAATGCTAGCAATAAAACTTTTATTACAATTTAATATATATTTTATACCAACAAAGTACCACATTTCTGATAGCCGTAGTAATAGGTATTAAAAATTCAACACAGTTAAATATTCACTGCTATTTATATGTATAAAATTTATTTGTCAATCATTTATAAAGTAATTATTATATTTTCAACAATAATTAATTTTATAATTATATGTTTGGATAAAATGTTTATTAAATTTATAAAAACTATTTTATAAATTTTAGTTTATAACTATTTAATTAAATTTTGTATCTTATGATAGATAAACATGAAATTAAAAAATATTATAATTGCATTTATTGTTATTAATAATAGTTAACTGTTTATCGTTTGCATTCACTCTGCGTTGAAATGTATGCGTTTTGACAACAATACAGACAAACGTCAATATTTTGAGTACAGCGCAAACAACCGCCAATCGCAACGTATTTGGCCAAAATTTATCATCATCAATCGCCATGGCATAGAGTACGCCGGGTATTTGATTACCCTGGCAGCGCCCAAAACCGTATATCATGATCATGATACATTCAAATGACATGCCTACGTACGATAGTTGGCTCAGCCATTGCAACGTGTAGTGCAACTCTTTAACCGGTATCTGATTGTTGCCCAACATTTGTACCCCGATTTGAATGATTATGGCAAATATTGCGGCCACTTTAGGCTCGTCGATAAACACCATGGCCGATAATTGAGCCACACTTTGCGTACACAATACGACCAACAAATTGAGTATCAATGTAAGTAGATAGAAGTTCATTGTATTGTAGAGGTTAGCGATCCAACAAAACACCGGCAACGATAGCAGCACTGGTATCAGGTCTATAATTGTTCGGCTCCAGAGATATGTTCCGGTACTGTACCAACCTTTTGAATAACAAAATAATTACATATATTAATGATTTTAATTTTCTAGGTAAATTAATGGTGCCCTAGTTAAACTAATTAGTTTTCAAATTAATGAATTTAATTATACAAATATCAATTATTAAAATAAAATGTTAGCCTCTACTAGCGGTTCCAACCATATAATAATTTCCTGTATTATACAGGAATTTTCACAGAATACAGGAAGAAATTTTCTTGTATATTAAATTCCAAAAATAAGCTGTAATACAGAAAAGTACAGGAACCTTTGTCAATTTTCTCACATTTATACAAGATTTTCAAAATATTATTTGGCAACGCTAGGCCTTACAATAACTTTATTTTTTTAAGTTTCTATTTTAATATTATATTCAAAATAGTTTTGTATTGCAATTTTGATATATAAAGTAGTAATGTATATAAAATTTTATGTTATACTAAAACTTATTTTAAGAGTTAATTTACCATTTTGTTGTTGGCTTTGAAACACGCGAAAGTCTTGGCAAAAAGTGGCCGACATCATCACCAACACTACAAACGCCATCGATACTAGTAAGCACACTTGGTACTTAATGTTTTGATTGATGAGTGTCTCGTCCCGGAGCTCAGCCACTGTTTGGGTACAGTCGGCGCCAAACGCCAGTTCCACACAGCCGTCGGGTATAATGATATCGGGGCTCACGCTGTATACCATGACCAGTGCGAACGTTTGCAGCGCCACAAACATCGCCAATATTAACACCCATTGGCACCGGAGTGTATGGGTTAGCGACCGGCATAGCAGATGATAAGTGTCGGTAAAACTGAACCGCTTTGAGCGACTTAAGGAGCCCAACATTGGGCGCAAAGTTGACAGCGCAATAGTATCGCAATTCACTCCGTTGTCATACACTGGTGTTGTGTCACGTGATTGTGATTTTAGTGTTGAACTCATTTTCATCAAGATTTCGATCGGCACTTGATTTTCATGGCATTCAATGCCATTGTCTGTGAGATGTTGTCTCAATCGGTGGGGAACTCCTGAATACAGACAAACCCCTCCTTTGGCCAACACATAGATGTTGTCAAACATATTAAATATATCGTTGTTTGGCTGATGTATGGACGCAATGATTGTCATCTCATGTCTTCGGGACAATCCTTTTAAAAAGTTTATCACCTGAAAAATAGCAATAATTTTATTAAAATTTATAAATAAAATTAATAATATTGTGTGGACTGACCACTTCTGCGGCATTACTGTCCAAACCACTCGTCGGTTCGTCAATACATAACATATTAGGCTTTATATGAGAAGTCAATTCACAGGCAATTACTATACGTTTCTGTTCGCCTCCACTACACGTCTCGACCCTATTGTCTGCCGTAAACCACTCGTCGGTTCGTCAATACATAACATATTAGGCTTTATATGAGAAGTCAATTCACAGGCAATTACTATACGTTTTTGTTCGCCTCCACTACACGTCTCGACCCTATTGTCTGCCGTATCGCCGATCGCCAGCTCTGACATCAAATCCGTTACATATTAGGCTTTATATGAGAAGTCAATTCACAGGCAATTACTATACGTTTCTGTTCGCCTCCACTACACGTCTCGACCCTATTGTCTGCCGTATCGCCGATCGCCAGCTCTGACATCAAATCCGTCACAATTTTATTGTGATTTAATTCAACACAAATCCTTGAATTCTTGAGTCTCGACGCATATAACAGTGTCTGTCGTACAGTCAGTCCCGGCAATAAGTGGTCCCAAACTTCTGACTTTATAAAACACGGTCGAACCCATCGGTCATTAATAGCGTAAATCTTGGTGTTTGCGCTCAAACCGACGCTATTCTGTCCGTTCAGACACTTTAATAGTGTTGTCTTTCCCGCACCCGACGGTCCCATCAATGCGTTTAATGTATTCATATGTACACAACCGCTAATATTATCTAGAATAATTTTGTTCCTGGTGCTAAACATAGTATTTTTGACGGCAATTGTTAAATGAGTCCACGCCATAAATAAAACTTGATCAGTTTGCTCATTTTTGATAACATAGTTGCAATTTGTATCAATTATTGAACTTATTTCAACTAACTCTAAAGTATTGGCATTTATTTTAATTTTGTTTTTCATAAATATATTTAAAATCTTTGTTGTTTTTATTAGCGAATGATTCGTTTTAACAATAAATGTAATATATTCACAAATTATCAGACCTATGTAGTAATAAATGTACCACTGTGAATATAAATTAAATAACTGCTCTGGGCCATCATTTAGACCATATTCAAGTAATACTTTGTTATGGTAATTGTTTGGGCAGCGATTATAGCCGTTATAATTATATTCGTAGCTCAATTTCTTTATAAATTCCATTGTTTTGAGACATCGATTAACATCGCGTCCCGAGTACAGAAACTGTTCTTATTCCATCAATAGTTTACTACAGTTAACATATCAATAAGCTATTGAGACAAAAAGTGCAATAATCGGGTGTTTGGATAATAGTATACCCAATATTGATGCCAACGCGTGTGTGCACAGCAATGTCATTATTATAACGTATATGAATTTATATAACCGATCATGTTCCCCGAGAATATCAATATAATATTGCAGTATAAACGCGTATATCAATGCATACCCTATGATAAGCATTGAATCGCATACGAATTTAGACCAGAAAAATAAATGCGAATTGTACCAGTCTATAATGTTAAAAATATAATTTTATTATATAATAAAATGAAATAAATTTATATAATCTCAAATGAAGTTAAAATTAAATTAAAATAATTAAACATATGAGTAAAAATGATAATTCACTATGCTGCAATTAACTGTATACTGAGTTTGCAAATTAAAATTAAAATTCATTGATATCTATAGTGAATTACTTATATTTAAATGAAAATATTTTTTACTTAATAAAATTATTTAAAAAACCTAATAAATAATTGCGTGCAAATATATGCTGTGTAATATGGTACTAGCATAAACGTAATAAATCATTAACAATAAATAACACTCACTGTTATTATTCTCTGTTAATAGTATACGCATATCAGTGCCAAAACTGTTACTAATGCTTATAATTTGTATCAATAATACAACCAACGATGATACATGCAATAATGCTTCAACCTGGTGCAATATGCTTTTTTCATCCTCGATCACAATACAGGTGTTATTTGTCTGTCCGTTGAAATGCACGCAACCGTCGACTCGACCGATGTTTTCATTAAAACAATTGACAAGAAATATATTAACGCCAATGAATAGCAATAGTTGTTTCAAAACACTCATATAGTTATTAAAATAATTTCGATGTATAAATCTGGTCAACAGATATATGTAATCAATTGTTTTGAATGATTTTTCATTAAATTTAAATCCATTGTTCATTCGACGCATGTTTTCCGTATTTGCAGTCATTTCCCGATTTTTAGCGCTTAATGTTTTTACATTATTATTTACTAATCCATAAAAACCTAATTTAATCAACACTTCGATCGGCACTTGATTTTCATTACATTCAATGCCATTGTCTGTGAGATGTTGTCTCAA